GAGTTGTTTCTTTTGAACTGACCAGTATTAAACTTTAATATTATAGATCTATCTTGCTAAATGTGGTGGGTGGAAGGAGGCTTTGGTAGAATGTGACTGTGAAGTTGGGGAGCTTACATTATATAAAAATGCCAAAGGTGACTTCATGTGCTGTAGTCAAGGTCAGTGTTCTAAGCTGGTTGACCACTAGAACCATGTGTGTGAGGGAGGGCTGTTAAGAACACAGATGCCCGGTCTTTTCTGGAGATTGCTGTTTAGTGAAATTTGCACAGACCCTGGAAATCTGTTTCAGGAGTTTCCCAGGTGATCTGGTCAAGCCTCATAAGCCTCACGTGGCTTATTCTTTCTCAGTGCCTACCCAGATGATCTTAAACTTGCCTTCCAGGTAAAGTAAGCCATGGTACAACTGGAAAAACTGGAAAACTCAATCTGAAGTCCTCTATCTAATAGGTAAACATTTTGAGGAACACTTTGAGGACCTCGGCCATGTCCACCCCCACCCCTATCCTCAGTCTGTATGTTTCAGTGACTAGTACAGTGCCTGCTGCATTGTTTCTAGTTAGTAAATTGGTTGAAATAGGGAATGTTTCTTTTTCTGGTAAATGGTGTCTTGAGCACTTTGCATATTTAATAATTGTGTCTTACTTTTGCTTTTTTGGTCCTACTCTTCATGGCATTGAGCTGTAATGTTGTCATCTCTAATGGGGCAGGCCAGTCTAGCATTGAATTCTCCTCCTAGGAAAGAATTTGAGGATGTGTGCTTTTTAGATGACATCTACTGGGTTATATTTGATAGATTGCCATTGAAGTTTGGGATGGATGAGCCTATGTTGGTGGAGATTTTATTAAAATTTTAAATTTGAATGTCTCTTAAAAATTTGTTTGATGCTTGCTACATTATGATTACTCAAAGTCACAAAACTTTTAAGTGTATTTGATACTATTAATACATAAGGAATAGCCTAGGAAAATGGAAAGATATTGCATTAGAATTAAGTGATCTGAATAATTTGTGCTTTTGCCAGTGTTTTTAAAAATAACTTCAGTTCTGCTAAGAGGGTAAGGGAAGATCTCATAGTAAGTTGTTAACACGTAAGAATATTAATATATCTTCATGTTGGTTTGCCTCAGTCATGAAAATCATTGTTGGCTTAATGTCATTGATACTTAGTGCTTAGTGTGACTCTGACAGAGGCGTCCTGCCAAGGCTGTACTGTTTAAAAGAACGTTGTAGCTCCAGAATCTGAACATTCCAGCAGCTGTGGCTGAGTGTCATCTGTGTTTAGTTTAAGAGCTGTGGGCCTAACAGTGCTCAAGTCTGTTTTTGTAGTCTGACCTTTTTCTGCTGTGGGTCATAGTTACGATTTTAGGGTACAAAACTTTGGGGTGGAAATGAGACATAATTGTTGAAGACTTATCAGGTATATACTAGATTTACCATTTGTTTCATACACTTCATTCTTACCAGTATACAAATTAAACTGTCCATGGTGTACAGTGGGAAGAGTGAATGCTATCACTTGGGACACAGAACACATTGCTTTTTTTTTTTTTT